TTAACACCTGCACTTCAGTCACACCAGCTTCCTTGCTGTTTCTCAAATAAACCAATCATGCTTGAGCCTTAGGGCTTCCTACTTACATCCTGTAATGCCCTGATATTCACATGGCTGGTTTGTTCACCTCCTTTAAGTTTCTGATCAAGTTTCACCTATCAGAAAGGCCTTCCCTGACCACTCTATATAAAATAGCATTCTTCTCCCTTTATTCTCTACCCCCTTATCCAGCTTTCTTTTCTTTTTTTAAAAGATGTATTTATTTGAGAGAGTGCGCGTGTGCGCACACACACGGAGGGGGGAGGAGAGAGGGAGAGAGATAAAGAGAATCTCAAGCAGACTCCCTACTGAGCGTGGAGCCTAATGCAGGGCTTGATCTCATGAGCCTGAGATCATGACCTGAGCCAAAATCAAGAGTCGGACACTTAGCTGACTGAGCCACCCAGGCGCCCCCAGCTTTATTTTCTTTATAGCACTTGTCACCAATTGTCATATTATATGTTTATTTGTTTTTTAAAATGCTGTTCTTTTTCTCTCACTAGATTGTAAGCTCCACCAAAACAGGAACTTTATTTTTTATGTCCAACATCTTAAACAGTGCCTTGCACATTATAGGTGCCATGAATTACTATATTAATGAAGAAAATGTGTAAAACCTATATTAGGGAAACTAATTTTTTCCAGAGAGACATCAAGAGATTGAATTTTGTGAAGGTGTTGATTACTCCTAAATTGATTTATAAATTTATAGCAATTCTGATTTTATTTTCTTTTTTTGAGGTTTTATTTTTAAGTAATCTCTACACCCAACATGGGGCTTGAACTTATAACCCTGAGATCAAGGGTTGCATACTCTACCAACTGAGCCAGCCAGGTGCCCCTATAGCAATCCTGATTTTAAAACCCCATAGTACTTTTAAGAGAGTTGAAAAAATGATCTTAAAGATTCGTCTAAGTAGAGGCTCCTGGGTGGCTCAGTCAGTTAAGCGTCTGCCTTCAGCTCAGGTCATGATCCCAGGACCCTGGGATTGAGCCCCACATCGGGCTCCCTACTCAGTGGGGAGCCTGCTTCTCCCCCTAGCCCCTGTTCATGCTCTCTCTTGCTATCTCTCTCTCTCAAATAAATAAATAAAATATTTGAAAAAAAAAAGATTCGTCTAAGTAAAAATATGCAAGAGTGTCTGGGAAAGGTATAAAAAATAAATTAGAGGGAAATCTAGCTCTACTAGATATTAAAACAATTGTAAGGTTACAATTTTAAAAGTATGATATGGTAATTAAAATAATAAGAAGCAGGGGTGCCTGGATGGTGGTAGAACATGCAACTCTTCATCTCAGGGTGATGAGTTCAAGCCCCAAATTGAGCGTGGAGCCTACTTAAAAAAAAAAAAAAAAAAGAAGCAGAATAGAAAGTTTGGAAATAAACCAAGTGCATACAACAATTTAGATTTTAGTAAAGGTAGCATTTTGAAATCAGTAGAGAAAAGATAACATTGTCTAGTAAAGGTGTCTGGAAAACTAGCTAGCCAGCTGGAAAAATAAAGATGATGTACTACCTCATTCCTTATTCCAAAAATACATTGAAATGTACCAAAGATATAATAGAACCATAAAAATAGTATATGAAAAAAAATGGGTGAGGCTTTTGTAAGCGTGGCTCAAAACCAAGAAGCTCTAAGAGCAAAAAGACATAAATTCGACTACATAAAAAAAACTTTAAAACCTGCAAAGCATAAAACACCATAAATAAAGATTAAAAAAACAGGGTTGCCTGGGTGGTGCAGTCAGGTAAGTATCCTACTCTTGGCTTTGACTCAGGTCCTGATCTTAGGGTCATCGTATCGAGCCTTGCATGGAGCCCCATGTCGGGCTCCACACTCAGCGGGAAGTCTGCTTGAGATTCTTTCTCTCTCTCTCTCTCTCTCTTCCTCTGCCCATCCCCCAGCTCGCTTGCTCTCTCTCTAAAATAAATAAATAAATCTTAAAAAAAAACAACAACAAATTGGGGCACCTGGGTGGCTCAGTTGATTAAGCGACTGCCTTTGGCTCAGGTCATGATCCTGGAGTCCCGGGATCGAGTCCCACATCAGGTTCCCTGCTCAGCAGGGAGTCTGCTTCTTCCTCTGACCCTCTTCCCTCTTGTGCTATCTCTCTCTCACTTTCTCTCTCAAATAAATAAATAAAATCCTTTAAAAAATAAAATAAAATCTTTAAAAAAACAAATTGGGAAGATACACTTGCAACACATATGACAGACAAAACTTAATACAAAAAAGAATTCTTTTTTTTAAATTATGTTTTTTTTTAAAGATTTTATTTATTTATTTGAGAGAGAGAGAGAGAGAGCACATGAAAGGGGGAGGGTCAGAGGGAGAAGCAGACTCCCCGCCGAGCAGGGAGCCCGATGCGGGACTCGATCCCGGGACTCCAGGATCACGACCTGAGCCGAAGGCAGTTGCTTAACCAACTGAGCCACCCAGGCGCCCAAAAAAGAATTCTTATAAATCAATAAGACCAACAACACATTAGAAAAATGGACAAAGGATATGAGAATATACAAATGGTTAGTAAATGTATGAAAGATACTCTGCCTCATTAATAACCAAAGAAATACAAATCAAAATATTTTATTTGACCTATCAGATTGGTAAAGATTCAAAATATTGACATTTCCAGGGATGGCAAGTGTGCAGAGAAACAGCTACTCAACACTGTGGTGAGATTATACACTGGGTCAGTATTGTTGGAAAGCATTTTGTATATCTATAAACATTGTATATCTATAAATATTTTATTTTATTTTATTTTTAAGATTTTATTTGTTTGACAGAGAGAGACACAGTGAGAAAGGGAACACAAGCAGGGGGAGTGGGAGAGGGAGAAGCAGGCTTCCCGCTGAGCAGGAAGCCCGTTGATGCAGGGCTCAATCCCAGGACCCTGGGATCATGACCTGAGCCAAAGGCAGACGCTTAATGACTGAGCCACCCAGGCGCCCCTATAAATATTTTAAAGGTCCAGACTCTTTGACCTAGCCACTACATTTTGGTGAATCTATTGTATAGAAATACTTAAAGCTGGATATACAGTATTGATCACTGTGGAATTAATTATAAAGATGAAAAATTGATGAAAAACCCTTAAATATAGGGGGCTGGTTAAATAAATCATAGTAACCCATGTAATAGAATTCTACATAACAAAAGAATTAGATAAGTTGCTACTGTCACATTTTAAACTTTTTTTTAATTAATAAACTTTATTTTTAGAGCAGTTTTAGGTTTACAGCAAAATTGAGCAGAAAGTACAGAGCATTCTCAAATACCCCCGGTCCTCACACATGCACAACCCCCCCCCCCCAACAATTGACATCCTATAACACAGTGGTAGATTTTTACAATTGATGGACCTATGTTGACACATCGTTATCACCCAAAGTTCATAGTTTACATTAGGGTTCATTCTTGGTGTTGGACAGTCTATGTATTGTGTGGATTTTTAAAAGCAAGTGTAGAAATAAATAGCATGATTTCAGTATTATAAACAACATATATAAACATATCTATGTGCATATAACGTGTGTGTGCATGCGTGTGCACATGTAAAATTCAAATGAGAATTGTCCTGTTTTGGAATTCTGCTAATGCTCAAAGCTGAGGTCCATTTCCTCCTCCTCCTCCTCTTCCTCCTCCTCCTTCTTCTGCAGGTTTCAGAGCAAGGTTTAATGCTGTGCACATTCACACATGAAAGCTATTTTCAGAAACAGAGTCCTAAGTCATGCTGTCAGTTCCCTTGAGGTGCATATTGAGGGCATGGGCTGTTTCAGGCATGACAGGAGCTAACATGGAAAGAGACAGCCCCACCAGCAGACACCAGAGGGGTCTGAGGAGGGTCAGTTTAATCATCCTTAGACTTGCCCTTGGTGTAGGGCACCCAGTCCAGAATCAGCCACCAGTCTGTGGCCCACACCAGCCTCCCAGTGTGAGGTCCACTTTCTAAAGAATGGACCAAGGACCTGCCAGGCACCCCCTCCAGCACGCACAAAAATACGGAATTGGTTCTTCAGCCATCATCCTTGCCACATCACTAAGTCCATACGAAGAGAAGACCAGAAATTTGCGGCAAATTTATTGACACACAAACCAGACATCAGATTCAGGGGTTGACAGACTAAGGTGATGAATGCTGTGGTTTTCCTGTTCAAATGTGGGGGATCCAAGAGAATTCCTCAAAGCTAGGGTGGCTGCTGAGCTGCAGAAATTTGGAGACTGTTAATTTGAGTCCTCTGGGAAGCAGAGGCTGAGAGTGAGTTAAGAGTGTCAGAAGTTTATTGGGTAGGTAAACTCCTGGGAGACGTCAAGAGAGGGAAGGAGAATTGGACAGGGAAAACTTCAGACGCTGATACACATTTCACACCTGTGAAAAGAAATGGCTGGGTGGGGGGAGGTACAGAACTGAGCAGGGAGAGCGTGCAGATGGTGATGCAAATATGACATCTCCAAAGGGGGCAGAAAGTAGGATTGGAGAGAAAGAACCTGAGACCACAGTGCAGATCTGACAGTTTCAATCAACCCAATGGTGAGCTCTGGAGCAAAGATTGCCTATTAGAGGAATCCCATGTTTGGCAGAAAATGGACAGGTCCTAGTACCCCTGCCATGCTCAGTCATTGGCTGGAGGATGCCCAGGAAGTGAATCTTGGTTAAAACACTGCAGTGGGGGCGCCTGGGTGTCTCAGTCAGTGAAGCGTCTGCCTTCAGCTCAGGTCATGATCCTGGAGTCCTGGGAGCCCCACGTCGGGCTTCCTGCTCTGTGGGGAGTCTGCTTCTCGCTCTGCCTCTGCTGTTCCCCCTGCTCGTGCTCTCTCTCTCTCTCTCTCTGACAAATAAATAAATAAAATCTTAAAAAAAAAAAAAAACCACTGCAGTGGATTCGGAAGGTGCTGCAGCTGGAGGCTCTCAGCTACCTTTACTTCTTGCAGGTAATGGCAAATTCTTTCTTGAAGGGAGAGCCTAGCAGTGATCCTTCACGCCTGCCACAGAGGACTGCCCCGGGAGTGCCACTAGCGTGGAGGGTGGTGAAAGAATTTTTGAGAACTTGACACATGCCTCCTGGAATTTGGGGACATCTGTGAACATAGAAGATTCCCACTTCTCCCCCAGAGAATGCTGCAGGTGGAATAAAATAACCTACCACAGCAGGGTAAGGCGAGAAGGCAGAAGTCGGGGCGGGGGGCGGGGGTTTGTTCTCCCATTGGTCGGCATGGGGAGGATGCTTTGAGTTTCCCAAGAAACAAGTAGGTGCCTCAGAATGAAGCTGGACTCCAGCTGTTGTGAAGTTATCCTGCTTTTAGCAGGCAACCTGTTGAGGTGAGGGATCCCCAGTAGTAAGAGGCCATGAGGTATACTATCAGGGATAGGAACTGAAGGAAGGTTGCAAGTAAATCAACAAGAGAGCCCAGTGTTCAAACTGGGGAACTGTGCAGTGTGGAGAATTTTTTGGCATCTCTGAAGACTCCATCTATGTGTCCTCCTAACCTCTACCTCCCCCAAAAGCAAGCATTAGGAATATCTGCCACGCTGAGGACATCAAGGCCAGACTATATTAGGCAAGAAAGAGTGACAAAAGAGACCAGATAAGTAAAAATAAAAACAAAAATGAAACATCAAAAACAAAACACTTGGGGACACCTGGGTGGCTCAGTCGGTTGGGCATCTGCCTTCGGCTCAGGTCATGATCCCGGGGTCCTGGGATTGAGCCCTGCATCGGGCTCCCTGCTCGGCGGGAAGCCTGCTTCTCCCTCTGCCTCTGCCTCTCCCCCTGCTTGTTCCCTCTCTCTCTCTCTCTCTCTCACAAATAAATAAAATCTTAAAAAAAAAGGAAAACAAAACACTTGGCTCCTTTCCTCTAACCCCCCACCGCCCCTTACCCTAGGGGACCCAGAAGCAGCTGAGCGAGGGGAAGGAGAATAAAAGAGCAGTAGAGGTCAGGCCTGACCTGGGATGGGAGAAGACACTATTTGAGTGGAGTGGTTGGAGACAAAGCTTTTTTTTTTTTTTTTTTTTAGATTTTATTTATTTATCTGACAGAGAGAGAGAGCACACAAGCAGGGGGAGCTGCAGGCAGAGGAAGAAGGACAAGCAGACTCCCCGCTGAGCAGGGAGCCCATCTTGGGGCTCCATCCCAGGACCCTGGGATCATGACGTGAGCCAAAGGCAGACGCTTAACCAACTGAGCCACTTTGCCCTGAGACAAAGTTTTTTGCATATACACTCCACCAAATTAAAAATGTTCAATAAATCAGGGGCGCCTGGGTGGCTCAGATGGTTAAGCATCTGCCTTCGGCTCGGGTCATAATCTCAGAATCCTGGGATCAAGCCCCACGTCTGGCTCCTGGCTCAGCGGGGAGCCTGCTTCTCCCTCTGCCTCTTACCCTGCTCATGCTCTCTCTCTCTCTGTATCTTTGTGTCTCGAACGAATAAATAAAATCTTTAAAAAAATGTTCAATAAATCAATTATATATCCATAGATCTAAATATACATTGGAAAAAATTGGGAAAGATACATATCAAACTGTTGTTTATGGTAATTACTAGGGATTTAGGGGAAGTTAAGGGTGGGGCACAATTTTATTTTTTACTTTATATGCTTCTGTATGAGTTTTATTTCATCAAGCACTAATTAGTTTTAAAATAAAGAAAGTAAGTTAAATAAAACAAGTTGTTTGAAATGAACTAACTGAAAAGTATTTGAGAGTTAATTTATTGTACACATTCATGAAGCTCAATGGATCTCAAGGAGGATAAACATAAAGAGAGCCACAGATACACACAGCATAGTAAAATCCATTCTCTATATTTTTTCAGTTTTTTTAAGTGGTTGTTAAAAGGTTTATCCTCAAATTCTGGGAAGATGGCAGCTTGAACAAATGTCCATGGCACACTCTTTCTACTCAATTCTGCCTAAGAATAACACAACAGCCAGTGTAGGCAAGGTGACGGAGCCTGGAAGCTGCATCTAAGGCCATATTTCTTTTAGGATCCTCTAGTGGGGATGAAAAACAGATTCAAGCCAAGGTCATGCTCTTCTTGGGCAGCCTCCAGCTAATGACTGACTAAGCATGGCAGGGGTGCTCGTGCCTGACCATTTGTGCCCAATGTGGGATACTTCAAATAAGAGATCTTTGCTCCAGAGTTACTTCTTCGGTTGGCTGAGACTGTTTGATCACCTTAAAGTGGGGTGAGAGTCAAGGGATAGTGGTAGAGGACAGGGCATATATGTTGGAAACCTGGGATAATGACAGTGATTTAGTGGTTCCCTGAGGAAGTTCAGCCTGCCCTATGAAGCCTGGTCCTGCCTACCTGCTTTCCTAAGGTCCTACAGGGGCCTGATTCAGCTGACCGTGGTGGACCTCCAAGAAAACTAATCTGTTCGTCTGAATTGCTACGGTTGGAAGAGATTTCTACTTGTATTCAGGGAGACATGGGACAGAGAGGCTTCCTCCCTGTGCCTCACAAAGGCATAATGGCTCTTCATCTAGTTTATTTCTGACCCACAAAAACAAAAACTACTTAACCTTCTACCATTCACTACCATTTACCACTGCTCAAGAGATGCTAATTGCCTGACCTAATTGCTAAGGAGTCAAAATCACAAGAAGGCAAAGAGAAATAACCCATTTAAGGAAACTGATTACCTAGAGGGAGGAAGACTAACTTGAACAATTAGGTGGTTCCCATTAATGTAGAAAGGAAGAGTCAGAAGGGAATTATTAAATAATTAAATTAATATTTGCAAAATGTTTAGAACAGTTCCTGTCATACATGTTTGTTAAATAATAAACTATAACAAGAAGTAATGAGAACGCCCAAGGATGTGGAATTGGAGCACAAAAAAGACCCTGTAGAACTAGAAAGTATGATTTTAGAAATTCAAAAATTCAGAACAAAAATCTTGCAAGCTTCCACGCAGAAAGAACACATTCTGGTTTCCAGCTGATTTGGACAACAGGAGGCATTGGTGGATGGTTGGAGGCAGGGAATACGGAGAAGCCAGAATATTTCTTCACCTCCTTCTCTGCCTCAGATAGCATCGCTAGTAGTGATTACAGCTCCTCTGTAGCCCCAGCTCCTACCAGGCAGGCTTCCACTGAGTAACCCTGGCCCCTGGGCTCCAGTAAAACCATTTCCTGCCTTTGACACCCGCCCCCAGCCTAGGGGCAGTAGATGTTCCCTGCCTTTCTTAATCTCTGGGCTGTCCCTTATTGTCCCCTGTTTGGTTTATCAATTCTTCCATTATCTGTGTGATCCATTCCCTGTATTTTTATATTCTATTTTATTTATTTATTTATTTATTTATTTATTCATTCATTCATTCATTCATTCATTCATTCATTCATTCATTTAGTGATCTCTACACCCAACATGGGGCTTGAACTCATGACCCCAAGATCAAGAGTCGCATGCTCTTCCAACTGAGCCAGCCAGGTGCCCCGTATAGCCCTCTGTTTTGTTTTTTATTTTTTTAAAGATTTATTTATTTATTTGAGAGACACACAGAAAGAGTGCAAGCAGGTAGAGCAGCAAAGCAAGAGGGAGAGAGAATCCTAAAGGAGACTCCCCACTGAGCGCAGAGCCCGACATGGGAGCCTTGATCCCAGGACCCTGAGATCATGACCTGAGCTGAAATCAAGAGTGAGATGCTTAATTGACTGAGCCACCCAGGCACCCCTCCCTCAATTTTAAATACTCAGAGCTGTTTCTATTTTCTGGTTGGACTCTGACTGACACTCTTATTACAAAGGAAAATAAACCAGGATTAGAGGTTTTTTCTTATAAGGCTGTTTTTTTTTTTTTTTTTTAGTGTATTTATTTATTTGAGAGAGAGAGAGTGTGGGAGTGTGAGTGAGAGAGCACGAGTTGGAGGTGGGGGGCAGAGGGAGAAGTCGAGACCCACTGAGCTGGGAGTCTAATGCAGGGGCTCGATCCCAGGACCCTGAGATCATGACCTGAGCTGAAGGCAGATGCTTAACTGACTGAGCCACCCAGGTGCCCCAGGACTAGAGTTTTAATATATGACACAGAAAGCTGGAAAACACTGGAATACCATCTATAGAATGTTGGGAGTAGAGGATTGCTGGCTGACAAACATATACCAGGCTTTGACAGGCTGCTTCTAAAGTGGCTTCCAGTAATCCTCACCTCCTGGTATTCACTCCCTGTGTAATTCCCTCTTCTTGTGTGTGTGTTGGTCCTCGTGACTTGCTTATCACAGACTATGGCAAAAATGATGGGATGTCACTTTCATAATTAGGTTGTGAAAAACTGTGGCTTCTGTTCTGCTTATGTTCCCTCTGGCTGTTCTCATACTCTGATGTAGAGAGCCATCTGGCAAAAAAACTGAGGACCTCAGTCCAACAGCCAGCAAGGAACTGAATCCTGCCAAAAACCATGTGACTGAACTTGGACATGGATCCTGTCCCAGCTGAGCCTTGAGATAAGACTGCAGCCCCAGCTGATAATTGATGGCAGCCTGTGAGAGACCCTGAGTGGATACCCTGATGGAAATCCTGAGAGATTAAGTAGATGACTCAGTTAGGCCATGCTATTCCTGACCCGTAGAAACAGTGAGATCATAAATGTGTGTTGCTTAAGCTAAGTTTTATTTTTTTAAAGGTGGAATTCAAGATTAAAAGCAATAAACAATACAAAAAGGGGCATAAATTGTTCGATCTTTAATGAAGAGATGAGCCATAAACCTTTATGTACTAAATTGTTACAGCAGCTTAAGATTTAAAACAAAACTCTTAGAAACACAAAAAGATTTGGTAAAAACCACAACCATAATGGGAGATTATAATATACCTCCTTCAAAACTTAACTGATCAAGTACACAAAAAATAAGCTAGAAAATAGATGATTTGGGGGCACCTGGAAAGGTCAGTCTGTTGAGCGACTAACTCTTGGTTTTGGCTCAGGTCATGATCTCAGGGTCATGGGATTGAGCCCCCTGTTGGGCTCCACGTTCAGCGAAGAGTCGGCTTGGGATTCTCTCTCTCCCTCTTCTTCTGCCCCTCTCCCCCCGCTCATGCTTGTTAAATAAATAAATAAAATCTTAAAAAAAGAAAATAGATGATTTGATTAATATAACCAAAAAGCTCAATGTATGACTATATATATATATATTCATATGCATCTAAAAGTGTAAACTATTTTCTAATGTTCATTAACTGTGCTTCATCACAGAGGAGAAACTTCATAAATTTAAGAGAAGAGAATTCTTTTTTTTTTTAAAGATTTTATTTATTTATTTGACAGAGACACAGCGAGAGAGGGAACACAAGCAGGGGGAGTGGGAGAGGGAGAAGCAGGCTTCCCGCCAAACAGGGAGCCCGATGTGGGGCTCGAGCCCAGGACCCTGGGATCATGACCTGAGCCGAAGGCAGATGCTTAATGACTGAGCCACCCAGGCGCCCTGAGAATTCTTTTTTTAAGTAAGCTCTACACCCAACATGGGGTTTGACCTCACAAACCCGAGATCAAAAGTCGCATGGTCTACTGACTGAGCCACCTAGGCACCCCTAAGAGAGGAGATTTTAGAGGCTGCATTTTCTCATTGTCATCCAGTGAAATTAGAAATAAGTAATAAAAGATGGTCAAAATATCTTTACTAGTTAGAAATTGAAGAACATCAATTTAATCCTAGATTAAAGAGAAAATAAAAACAGAACTCATAAAAAGTTTAGGAAGTAACAAAATGTGGATATACCACATACTATGGGATCACCTAAAACTTTATTTAGAAGAAAATTTATAGCTCTGGGGCGCCTGGGTGGCTCAGTCGGTTGGAGTATCTGCCTTCGGCTCAGGTCATGATCTCAGGGTCCTGGGATGGAGCTCTGCATCACTCTCCCTCTGCTGCTGCCTCTGCCGCTCCCCCTACTTGTACTCTCTCACTCTCGCTCTTTCTCAAATAAATAAATGAAATCTTAAAAAAGAAAAAGAACTTTCTAAAAAAAAAAGAGAATTCACAGCTTTAAATCAGGAATCACAAAAGTCTAGGTAGGTGATGGAGATATACGAAGTGGCTAGATATAAAAGTGGAGGTGGGGCCTATGGAGACTCAGCAGAGATATGACTGCCCTGAAAGCACTGGAGTCCACTAGTCTGTGATACCCCCTTTAAATGCTTTTCGTGTTAACAAAGAAAAAGGGCGCCTCGGTGGCTCAGTCGTTAAGCATCTGCCTTCGGCTCAGGTCATGATCCCAGGGTCCTGGGATTGAGCCCCGCATTGGGCTCCCTGCTCAGCAGGAAGCCTGCTTCTCCCTTTCCCATTCCCCCTGCTTATGTTCCTGCTCTCGCTGTCTCTCTCTGTCAAATAAATAAAAATTTAAAAAAATATATAAAAAAAGATTTAAAAAAACAAGGGAAAAAATGGAAAATATGGAAATGAATCAACTAAGAACACAGTGGCAAAGCTGCACAATTATCTAAAAGAAAACATAAACGGAATTAATAAAAATAAAGCTCAAAAAATTAGTGAAACAGAAAATTGTCACAGGTTGGGTTCCCTGGGAAACAGATGCTGAGGAGGAAAGGATCCAAAAGGTTTATTGAGGAGTAGGGTCTGTGAAGCAGAAGAGGCAGGGCATGTTGGCGGCCCTGCAGACCTGACAGTCTCTGCCAGCTCACTGGGGAGCTGCACAGCAAAGATGTTCCAAGGATCCCGCATTGGGCAGAAAAGGCTATGCCCCAGTCCTTCCACCTTGCCTGGTCATTAGCCGTGGGCATCCCAAGAGCAGTGTGACCCTCAGCTCAAAATCTGAGGTGGACTCTGAAGGTCCTAAAGGCTGCCAGCACTCTTTGTGGCTGGGCAGTTAGTCCTTTCTGGAAGTGGGCTCTGAGTGTTGCCTCTCTGCCACAAAAACAATAAAAAGTGGTATAAAAAATTAATAAAACCAAAAGCTGGCTTTAAAAAAATTAATTCAGTTTATTAAAGCTTCCGCCTTTTATGTGTGTGTGTGCACAATTTGCAAAATTGTGCTGCAAGTGGAATCTATGGGCACAAATCTGCAAAGAAGGGACATTTAGACTATGTTGAATGGTATCAGGTAAAAACAAGTAGCCTTTAAGTCCCTCATCTTTTTAAACCAGCCTTCCTTCCACTGCTCTGTAAATAAGGAACTGATTTTTAATGATCTAAAATTAAGAAAAGGCTACCCCTCCTAGAAAACCAGAGAGGATCGTTGTATCAGGAAGGGCTTGGCTGGGACCTTGGACAGGGTATGTGAATGTGCCCTTGAATCCCTGAGGATTCAGAGATTGGGTGGACCCAGTTTGCTTCAACTGTCCAACTCACTGAGATTTCCTGCCAGTTTCTGCACTGGCTTGACTGGCATAATTCAAATGGGAAAACCTCACAGTCCTTCCAATTTTCTGGAGCTCCATGGTAACATGTAGTAACAGCTGATAGGATGTATTCCACACATTGTATTATGGAATTTCTTCAAGGAATTACTAAAATATATGGAGCTAATTGTTTTGTAGTACTCCTACATGTTTTATTTAGATTACATTCTAGATTGTCAATAGATCCATTAAATGGCTCTGGAGATTAAGCCCAGTAACTATTCAGAACATTTGATCAGCCTCAGTGGCAGAAATGGAAGAAACTGCACTGTCCAGTATGCTGATCACTAGCCACATGTGGCTACCGAGCACCCAAAATGTTGGTAATCCGATTGGAAATGTGCTAGAAGTGTAAATACATGCAGGATGTCAAAGAGTTGGTATGAAAAAGGAATGTGAAATATCTCATAATTTTCCATACTGATGAATATTGACGTATTTTGGATATATTAGAGAAAATATATTAAGGTTTATTTGACCTGTTTCTTTTAACTCTTTTTAATGGAGCTACTAGTATTTAAAATCACACATGCGGGGGTGCCTGGCTGGCTCAATCGGAAGGACGTGGGACTCTTGATCTGGTGGTGAGTTTGAGCCCCACATTGGGTGAAGAGATTGCTAAAATAAATAAACTTTTAAAAAATCACACATGTAGCTCACATTTGTGACTTGCATCGTATTTCTGTTGTATCGTGCTGCACGAGATATTTACTGTGAAGTTTCCTGAATCCCTGTTCTTTTAAAAAAATCATTTATTTTGTGAAATTCCAGTATAATTAACATACAATTTGAATTCCTCTTCTTTCGACTCACTCGGAGTTTCAACCGGCACAGCAATGTTGGTAAATCCATCCTTATGGCTTGCTAAGGCTTTAACTGTATAAAGGCTGGTGTATGTCATTACTGTGTTCATCTTCAGTTCTCCGTAATCTTTTGATTAATGGGGAGGTGAGGTGAAGATATCCAGCGTCTATCCACACTGGAAAGTGCACATCGAGAGAGGGGAACATGATGGGAAGGTCCTAAGCAGGGGCAGCAACAAAACAACAAAACCCGCATTAAGTTATCCTGCCCCGCGTGTGATAATGGTTCCAGCGAGTCCTTTTGTTGACCGACCTGTGAAGGCCAACCTTCTAGGTGTGCATTCGGCTGAAATCCTGCGGCTGTGTACCACTGTGTACCGCCCGGGCACTCGGCTGGACATCTGGTGCAGGAGGATGAACCGAGCGGCGGCCGCGGCAGTGCGGCTGGAGTGGCTCCAGGAGGGACCAGGCACCGCGAGCCCGGCCGGGGGCGGGGGGGGGGGGGGGCGGAGGCGGCGACAAAGGAGAAGGTGATAGCATCCGGGGCCGCGACGCCGGAAGATGGGGCTGGCGGCTACTTCCCTAAGCCCGGAAAACCCCGGAGTCACCGCTTCTGCGCGGCAGAGCCGATTCCCCGGAGCCGCCCCCACAGCCCTGTCGCCTCCGCTGGGAGTGACCGGGTCCCCGGGCTCCGCGTTCGCGCGCCTCACGCCTGACTCGGGGTTGGGCTTGCCCGTCCGCCGGCTCCCCAAAGCCGAGCTGTTTGGAAAGGACCAGTAAAATAAACTCTTGGCTAGCCAGACTAAGGTAGGAAGGAAGAAAAGGAGGAAGGGGAGGTAAAATATTAGTAATGACGTTGTGGATAAAAACAGATCTATATTAAAAGACTTTAAAGAGAATCTCGTGTGCAACGAATGTGAATATACAGAAGGAATGATGGATTTCCTGGCAAACTATAAGCTACCAAAATTGGCCCAAGAAGGAGAAAACCGGAAGAGAGCAGTAACTGTAGATGAGAATGGAAAGTCAGCAGGTCCGGGTGCTTTCATAGCGAAGTCCTAGATAACCTTTAAGAAACAAATAATTTTAATGTCATTTGGTCCCTTCTAGACCAGTGTTTTTCAAAACATCTGTAGTGAAGGACCCGTTTTTAAAAAATTTTACAATTATTGTGGAGATATACTTTTGTAAAAGTTAATAAGAATATTAGAGAAATGAAATAAGCAAAGAGCAAGCGCAATTTTTAAGTTTTAGTATTCATCAGAAATAAATTACATTTCATTAAATATAATCAAAACCAATTTAACATAGGGACAAAAAAGTAATTACAAAAACAGCATGCAGTGTTCATGGATGAGTCCAGCGATCACTGCTTGGATGTCATAGCAATGTCTAATTGCTATTAAGGTTTCTAAACCCTCTCCATTTCTGTACTTATCCCGTCATGGGTTGGTAACAAACAGTCCAGGGACTGGCACCAGTTCTCAGACCACA